CTCCTCTAGCCAGCCACCGTCGCCTGTCGGTGTCGGCGAGCCTCCCGCCAGCAGTTACTTCGAGTCTTTGATTCGAGCCCTAGACTTTGAGTCTTCGATTAGGTGCCGGCGACTTCGATTATAGCCCTTGATTTCTGCTAAGACGTTTGTTTCAATGTAATATATCGCAAGAATTTCAAAATACTTTCTATCTTTTTTACTTTCTGAGTTTGTTTGTTAATAAATGCTGGAAGTTCTTGAATCATTTGGAAATTTTGATCATCTTGCAAACACTATTCGTAACGTGAACGGTTAAAAAAAGAGTAATGTATCACACATGGGTCCTCTTTTCCCCCATCCCATTTGGCATGAGCACTACATTTCTATTTGTTTGTTTTTTGCTTATTTAAAAAATAAAAGGGACTAATAAGTCTTTTTACTCATTAACTAACNTTTCGTTGGGCCTTGTGGCCCTAAAAAATTGGCCAATAGACCCTATTTATAAATGGGAACAATACATAAATCTTATATATAAAAATTACATTTAAAAAATAACAAACTTCAAAAATCTTTTAAAAAATCAGGTGTTAAGTCAATTAATTAAATATTTTTAATTATAATATAATACAATTACCCCAATTTATTAAATTTCAAATCCAAATCATTCTCATTCTCTCTACTCTCTATCCTCTCCCTACCCCTTCTCTTCATCGGAGGCGGCCATCTACTCCGACGGCCGCTCCGACAACAGTTCCAGTGATCTCTCCGGTGACAGTTCCGACGCCGCTCCGGCGACTATTCCGACGACCACCTATGACAAACTGCTCCAATGACCACTCCAACGCATACTCCGATCAACCTATCCACCCCATCCAGCGCATTCCCAACTTCCAAAAAATTTTCAGAATTTCAAGTCACAATCGGTCATAATCGATAATAATCTCACAATTAACCAGTCATAAACTGTCACAATAAACTACCCGGTAGTCAAATCGCGATCTGGTCATAGAACAGAAAAGGTTCACCTACACCACCAACTCCGGTTGCAACCTTCTTACTCTACAGCGCGCCGACTACGCCTCCACCACCACCACATGAATCCAGTCATCCATACACCCACAACCATCACCATCTCGACCTTGATATTGTTTCCAGGAAGTGAATGAGCTTGTTTAATTTCAAAAATTAAATAAACTCCGCCGACAGAAAGTCACAAGGATAAGAGCTCCACCGATCCAGCACTAGAACTTTCGGCCTCCGTCACAAACAAAACCACCAACAAAATCACCATTTTCACTACAAAACCACATCCACATTCGCCACCACCACCACAAAACACCACACCACCCACCCCACTGACAGATCCACCTCAACAAAAACACTGTCATCGCAGCAAAAGGACCACCACTGCAGCGGCGTTGAACGCCGTTGTGCGGTGAGCCTCCGCCTGCATCAGTCGTCGAGCGTCGCGACACTGTCGCTGCATCAATCGGCGCAACGTCGAGCGTCGCAACGCTACCGATCGAGCCATTCATAGAGAGGGAACAGAGAAAATGGAGGGGAAGACGAGGGGCGAGAGAGAGATGGGAGGGGAAGAAGACGAATGATGGCGACGGCGAAGGCAGCTTTGCGAGACAGTGATGGCGGTCTTGGAGGGAGGCGACAGGGAGGAAGAGAGAGTGTGTGAAGGAGACGGAAGTGATGAAATTAGAATTTTAATATTATGGTATTAAAAAAATTAAATTATCACCTGATTTTTGTATGAAAAACTTTTAAACCTGAATTTTGAATTGTATAGTTTATAAATAGGGTTTAAGCTAATTTTCCCATATGATAACGAGTAAAGATTATGGACCTTTTATGCCATTGAAATGTGGTATAAAATGAAAATATTTAGCCCATTGATTTTAAATTTGACTTTTTGATACTTGTCATATTCACATTAAAGTTTATATTAATTGCAATAAAAATCCTCAGTGTTTTTTTTTTCATTTTTTGCACTAGAGTCCATGATTTTTATTTTTCATTACATTCTTATTATCCACCATCAATTATTTTACAATACCAAATATTTTACACGTAGATCTTTATTTTAATTTTTTTGGGTGGGTGTGGAGAGGAGATTTTGTGAAAATAATAATTTTCTAATTATCGAGAGCCGAGACTAATTTTATTTATGATTTTTTCAATTGAACTGGTAAATTTTTCGCAAAATTGATCCCATCGTGTCTCAGCAAAATTCAACCATGTATGTACGTTGAAGTAAATAATATTAAAAAATGTTTAATTTCTTTTTAAATTTAAAAGACACGTGGAAAACTCTGGTAGTGCCGACAATGGGCACTTGGCATTCCTCTTGATGAACCAAATTTGCATTCCCAACTTCTTATGTTGACGGTTGACCGGTATTACAGGTTTAAGCAGCCAAAATAATATTAATAAAAAATAAAATTATTTTCAATTACTCATCATAAAGACATAAACTTATGTTTGGCTTATCTTTAAAAGGAAAATGATATAAGTAGCCACGTACACGTAGCTTGGTTCTGTTTATAAATATTAAAGTCACATTTTTATTTTTGTAATTAAATTTTTTTACAAATATTATTTATTTATCTGTCACTTATTTTTATTTATCTATAATTTAAATTATTTATAAACAATTTCCGAACATAAATTAAGAACTCTATTTTATTGAATTTTAATAATATAATAAATTTCGTGTAATTGATAGGCCATATACATTGTTCAATCCACCACGACACATGGTTAATAATATAAAAGTAGTGCTTTGTAAGTCGGTAACAATATAAAATATTAAATCCTATTTTAATGATTTAAAATTTATTATAAAATCTCTTTTCCACTCTGAATTTACAGCCCAAATTTACGAAGACAAAACTATCTGGAATTTTAGGATTAATTATTCAACAGTATTTGAACTTTACTCACATTTCCATATTTGGTACCTTAAATTTCAATTGTTTCAAATCCATCACTAAACTTAAATATTTATTTCTCATCTATACCATCTACCAGAGCTTGCCAAATTAACAACATTTGCTTATTTGTCACTAAACGGGCGTTAAGTTCCAAAACACTCCAATTGGCCAATTTAAAAATGTCATTAACACTAAAGCCATATCCTTTCTCTCCAACATCTTCTATTTATACTTAAAATTCCAACTTCATATCCGTCTACCAAAATCGGGCATTCCAAATTAAAATTAGGTTAAAAACCAAAAACTTTTTAACTCATTCAATGTTGATAATAACTTAACCACTGTTCGGTGACGGTTAAAATTAATTTTTTAATAAATTTTAATAAAAATTGATGAAATGTGTAGTTGAAAAGTTGTGAATTCAATGAAATATATGATTAAAATTAATTGTTAATTTTGATTTGATTTAGAGCATGTTTGGGAGTGTTTTTTCAACCAAAAAAATTCATTTATGAACCGTTAGAAAGCAAACTAAGCAGCCCTTGTTGACTTTGTTACATACTGATGGGACCCAATTGTTGACTCCAACGGTCAATTTTTTGTTTGAAATCTGCTGAAAATCCCTCCCAAACACAGCCTTAAATTAAAATCAATATTTTAATCATCACCAAACATAGGCTTAATTTTTTTTTTTCGTAGTCAAGATCTGGAAACTTTTGAGTAGCTAATGCCATGTAGTGACACATAAGCCTAAATTTGGTGAACAAGTGCATATTTAGGTATAGAAGGAAAATAAGTTTGGTGATGGATTTAGAACAACCAAAAGTTCGGATACCGAAATGGAATGCGATGTAAAGTTTAGTTGCCGTTTGAGCATTTCGCCGTTTATTTATTTATTTTTGAAGGGAATTTGACCATTTTTTATGTACTGCCTTGCGTACAGTTGGGGATGAATAGCATTTTTCATTTAAAAATGTCATTAACACTAAAGCCATATCCTTTCTCTCCAACATCTTCTATTTATACTTAAAATTCCAACTTCATATCCGTTTACCAAAATCGGGCATTCCAAATTAAAATTAGGTTAAAAACCAAAAACTCTTAACTCATTCAACGTTGATAATAACTTAACCACTGTTCGGTGATGGTTAAAATTAATTTTTTAGTAAATTTTGATAAAAATTGATGAAATGTGTAGTTGAAAAGTTGTGAATTCAATGAAATATATGATTAAAATTAATTGTTGATTTTGATTTGATTTAGATCATGCTTGGGAGGGCTTTTTCAACCAAAAATATTCATTTTTGAACCGTTAAAAAGCAAACTAAGCAGCCATTGTTGACTTTGTTACACACAGGTGGGACTCAATTGTTGACTCCAACGGTCAATTTTTTGCTTGAAATCTGCTTAAAATCCCTCCCAAACACAACCTTAAATTAAAATCAATATTTTAATCATCACCAAGCATAGGCTTAATTTTTTTTTTCGTAGTCATGATTTGGAAACTTTTGAGTAGCTAATGCCATGTAGTGACACATAAGCCTAAATTTGGTGAACAAGTGCATATTTAGGTATAGAAGGAAAATAAGTTTGGTGATGGATTTAGAACAACCAAAAGTCCGGATACCGAAATGGAATGCGATGTAAAGTTCAGTTGCCGTTTGAGCATTTCGCCGTTTATTTATTTATTTTTGAAGGGAATTTGACCAGTTTTTATGTACTGCCTTGCGTACAGATAGTGCGAAGAACACAAGGCTGACACAGTAAGATGTAGAATGTTGCAGAAAGGAGAAGAAATGAATATTACATCTTTAAACCAAGAAAACATACAGAAAAAGAAAGATCGCCTAATTACCTAATAATATTCATCTATAACACAATCAATCTCTAATTATACTGTTTTACACTCGAAATTTCCCAAATCAAAATTCAGTTGTTCCACCCCCACCTCAACCGACTCAACTAGATTTTCTTCATAAGCTTCTTGTTCTAGATATTCTCTGATTAGATCATTATTTATGGAAATTCAAGTGAAATAAATTGTTGGGTGTTTTGAAATCAATAAATATTCTTCAAAATATGGGTTTTTTAGTAGGATACGTTCTGGGCGTTGCTGTAGGTATTGGTTTAATCATTGGTTTTGCTCGCTACCAAAATATCAGATCCAAGGGCCGTACTGATTTGGTATGCTGTTTATCTTATTTTATTCTGTTTTTTACATACATATATACATAATACACTTGTATATACATTCCTGTGCATCGATGTTGTTGAACTGCTTCATCTAAAAGCCTAATCAGTTGAAGAGGGTCGGATTCAAAAGTTCTTCACTGGCGAGACTTGAATATGAACTTTCAAGAATGTTGCATTTACTTACATATTTTTCCATTATCATTTTTGAAACATCATTTCTTGTTTGTACATATCACAAATTTTTGTAACCTTTTAATTTTTTTGTTATTTATTTTCAACATTTATCAGGCAGAAGCAATTGCAGCTTTTGCCAGAATGACAGTTGATGATTCAAGAAAGATTCTTCCAAATGAATTGTACCCTTCTTGGGTTGTCTTTTCTCAGCGACAGAAGTTGAGTTAAATCTTCCTTACAATTGTTTGGCTCTGAATTTTAAACATTGTATGTGTGTGATGTATAGTAGCATTGAATTCTAATTTTTTTTTTCCTTTTATTTTTTTGTTACAGTTAACTTGGCTCAATCAACATCTTGAAAAAATATGGCCATATGTTAATGAGGTGATTTTTTTTTTACTTTCTATGATTTAAATTTTATTTTGTGATCTTTTTGTTTTTTGGTTTGTTTGCGTAGGCAGCTTCTCAGCTAATAAGGACCTCTGTAGAGCCAACTCTTGAGGCATACAGACCTATAATTTTTGCTTCTCTTAAATTTTCCAAGTTGACACTGGGTACCGTGGCTCCAAAATTCACAGGTTAGCTTAATTATTGTACTTTTTGCGTTTGTTTGGTATGATGGATTGCACGGTAGTCGATTTACTAAGAAAGCAAAAGAAGCGAAACTTGTATACTGGAGCATGTTTCAGTTGCTTCCCATTGATGAATGGATTTCTTATCTCTGCGTATCAAACATGTTCTTATGGTTTAACTTGTAAATAGAGCATTTACTTCTGTAGGCTATAGCTATATGGCACATTTTTTTTCCTATAAAGTGGGAGAATTGGCATTGCTGGCAAAAGAGATGAAGTGATCATAATGATTTTGACAAATGTATTGATGTTTTCAAGATCATGTGTCTTTAGCAGTCTTGAATTGCATGTTGAATTATTGTCACGCTGGAAGAAGATCACAATTATAGTAATGAGAAAACAAGATTCTGCTATGTTAAACGACTAATTATGAATTTATGATTTTGTGCTGTTTTCATTCTATAGGAGTTTCCATTATTGAAGGTGACCCCGGGGAAATAATTATGGAGTTGGAGTTGCAGTGGGATGGGAATCCCAATATTGGACTTGATGTTAAAACCAGAGTTGGCGTGGGACTACCAGTACAGGTGCTTCTTGACTTGTTATAAACCTATTATTTTTTATTTTTTAAACTCAAAACAGAAACCTGTGTACTGAAGTTATGCTAAAGCAGATTCACTAATTTTTAATTGAAACAGATTTGACATTCACTATGTCATATTTTTTTCCTTTTTCTTCCTATTGTCTAATGCCTCATAAATTTTGTTGACGACTTTTTGACATGTTATAGAAAGTCTGTAATTAACCAGCAAAGAACTCCAGAATTCACAACTTATCTATTTGAACGTCTCTGTTTTACAACTTCGATTGTTTGCATTTCAAGAATATTGCATTTTTCATATTAAAGAATATCTGCAGAAGTCTTGTGCTTATCTGAATCTTCAATTATAGCTCACCATCTACTTAATGAACTTTCAATTGTATTTGTTGAGTGTAGGTCAAAAATATTGCATTTACTGGGGTTTTCAGGATAATATTCAAACCACTAGTCGATGAATTTCCCTGTTTTGGAGCTGTTTGTTATTCGTTAAGAGAAAAGGTGTGTACCAACCATTTTTCTCCTTTTTTATCTGCGAAGTGTGCTATAATTCAACACCAATTTCAATAATATCTTTAGATGTCTTAATACGGCCACATGCATATGATATGAATATATTATTTTTCGCGTGTATTTACAGAGAGTGATACATGTGCACACACAGTTTGTTCATATTAAAGAAACAAAAAAATTATGCATTGAGTTAGTGAATTCATATTGATACCTGCAGAAAAATCTAGATTTTACCCTCAAAGTTGTTGGCGGCGATGTATCAGCAATTCCCGGAATATCTGACGCCCTTGAGGTTTGATTATAGTTTTCAAATTTCTTGTTTTCAAATATATTAGTGAATTGAAGTCTTTTGTGATGCTTTCTATGCTTGTTCAGTAATTTTTTTTTTTTTTTTGTGCCACATAGGGAACAATACGAGATGCAATTGAAGATTCTATCACCTGGCCAGTCCGTAAAATCATACCCATATTACCAGGAGATTATAGGTAAATCATCAACATTTCAACCCCCTCCCCAACCCAATTGCATGTACCCCTAATTTTCAAACCAAAATTTTCTAATTTTTGGATCTTGCTATGATCTGTGGCCATTGATCTAAAATGTAGGTTATTTTTTCTCCACTATTTAGCTGTTCATATTTTCAGTCATGCTTCTAAAATTTGAAAAATGTGTTAACCATGTGCACCTTTCCACCTACTTCTTGCTGATACTAGATTGCTGGCACGTAGAACAGTGATATACAATGCATTGATATTTGCTTTGATCTCGTCTTAAATAAATTTATGGACTTGAAAATCTCAATTCAAATTGTGTTTATTTCTAAGTTTAAAGTTGTTATGGAGTAATGTAACCTGTTCAAGTTTTTATAATGCCAATAAAGTGTTTTTTAGGCCTAGAATGTAAATTATTTTTTTTCTGGGGGTGTTAAACTTCTTAATTTTCCTGTTTGACCAAAAATTGTTGGAAAAGGACTAAGGAGATTTTTTGTGCTAGAAAATAAACAGTTCAACAACTATTATGGAAACATAAGTGTGTGTCTTTCAAAATACATCGTGTTTGGCTAATCTACAAAATTCTTAAAGTTCCTTTTTAGTTACCTATTGTCTCCGAACATGTTTGGATAACTTGCTATTTTGTTACTTTTAAGTAAAAATGTTTCTTTTTTCGAAAGTAT